GTCAGTCACCGCGGCACCCCACAACAGTTCTACCGTCTGTCACCGCAGCACCCCACAACAGTTCTACCGTCAGTCACCGCGGCACCCCACAACAGTTCTACCGTCAGTCACCGCGGCATCCCTCAACAGTTCTACCGTCAGTCACCGCGGCACCCCACAACAGTTCTACCGTCAGTCACCGCGGCACCCCACAACAGTTCTAACGTCAGTCACCGCGGCACCCCACAACAGTTCTACCGTCAGTCACCGCGGCACCCCACAACAGTTCTACCGTCAGTCACCGCGGCACCCCACAACAGTTCTACCGTCTGTCACCGCAGCACCCCACAACAGTTCTACCGTCAGTCACCGCGGCACCCCACAACAGTTCTACCGTCAGTCACCGCGGCACCCCACAACAGTTCTACCGTCAGTCACCGCGGCACCCCACAACAGTTCTACCGTCAGTCACCGCGGCACCCCACAACAGTTCTACCGTCTGTCACCGCAGCACCCCACAACAGTTCTACCGTCAGTCACCGCAGCACCCCACAACAGTTCTACCGTCAGTCACCGCGGCACCCCACAACAGTTCTACCGTCAGTCACCGCGGCACCCCACAACAGTTCTACCGTCTGTCACCGCAGCACCCCACAACAGTTCTACCGTCAGTCACCGCGGCACCCCACAACAGTTCTACCGTCAGTCACCGCGGCACCCCACAACAGTTCTACCGTCAGTCACCGCGGCACCCCACAACAGTTCTACCGGCAGTCACCACGGCACCCCACAACAGTTCTACCGTCAGTCACCGCGGCACCCCACAACAGTTCTACCGTCAGTCACCGCGGCACCACACAGCAGTTCTACCGTCAGTCACCGCGGCACCCCACACCAGTTCTACCGTCAGTCACCGCAGCACCCCACAACACTTCTACCGTCAGTCACCGCGGCACCCCACAACAGTTCTACCGTCAGTCAACGCGGCACCCCACAACACTTCTACCGTCAGTCACCGCGGCACCCCACAACAGTTCTACCGTCAGTCACCGCGGCACCCCACAACAGTTCTACCGTCAGTCACCGCGGCACCCCACAACAGTTCTACCGTCTGTCACCGCGGCACCCCACAACAGTTCTACCGTCAGTCACCGCGGCACCCCACAACAGTTCTACCGTCTGTCACCGAGGCACCCCACAACAGTTCTACCGTCAGTCACCGAGGCACCCCACAACAGTTCTACCGTCAGTCACCGCGGCACCCCACAACAGTTCTACCGTCAGTCACCGCGGCACCCCACAACAGTTCTACCGGCAGTCACCACGGCACCCCACAACAGTTCTACCGTCAGTCACCGCGGCACCCCACAACAGTTCTACCGTCAGTCACCGCGGCACCACACAGCAGTTCTACCGTCAGTCAACGCGGCACCCCACAACAGTTCTACCGTCAGTCACCGCGGCACCCCACAACAGTTCTACCGTCAGTCACCGCGGCACCCCACAACAGTTCTACCGTCAGTCACCGCGGCACCCCACAACAGTTCTACCGTCAGTCACCGCGGCACCCCACAACAGTTTCACCGTCTGTCACCGCAGCACCCCACAACAGTTCTACCGTCAGTCACCGCGGCACCCCACAACAGTTCTACCGTCTGTCACCGCAGCACCCCACAACAGTTCTACCGTCAGTCACCGCGGCACCCCACAACAGTTCTACCGTCAGTCACCGCGGCACCCCACAACAGTTCTACCGTCAGTCACCGCGGCACCCCACAACAGTTCTACCGTCAGTCACCGCGGCACCCCACAACAGTTCTACCGTCTGTCACCGCAGCACCCCACAACAGTTCTACCGTCAGTCACCGCGGCACCCCACAACAGTTCTACCGTCAGTCACCGCGGCACCCCACAACAGTTCTACCGTCAGTCACCGCGGCACCCCACAACAGTTCTACCGTCAGTCACCGCGGCACCCCACAACAGTTCTACCGTCAGTCACCGCGGCACCCCACAACAGTTCTACCGTCTGTCACCGCAGCACCCCACAACAGTTCTACCGTCAGTCACCGCGGCACCCCACAACAGTTCTACCGTCAGTCACCGCGGCACCCCACAACAGTTCTACCGTCAGTCACCGCGGCACCCCACAACAGTTCTACCGTCAGTCACCGCGGCACCCCACAACAGTTCTACCGTCAGTCACCGCGGCACCCCACAACAGTTCTACCGTCAGTCACCGCGGCACCCCACAACAGTTCTACCGTCTGTCACCGCAGCACCCCACAACAGTTCTACCGTCAGTCACCGCGGCACCCCACAACAGTTCTACCGTCAGTCACCGCGGCACCCCACAACAGTTCTACCGTCAGTCACCGCGGCACCCCACAACAGTTCTATCGTCAGTCACCGCGGCACCCCACAACAGTTCTACCGTCAGTCACCGCGGCACCCCACAACAGTTCTACCGTCTGTCACCGCGGCACCCCACAACAGTTCTACCGTCAGTCACCGCGGCACCCCACAACAGTTCTACCGTCAGTCACCGCGGCACCCCACAACAGTTCTACCGTCAGTCACCGCGGCACCCCACAACAGTTCTACCGTCAGTCACCGCGGCACCCCACAACAGTTCTACCGTCAGTCACCGCGGCACCCCACAACAGTTCTACCGTCTGTCACCGCAGCACCCCACAACAGTTCTACCGTCAGTCACCGCGGCACCCCACAACAGTTCTACCGTCAGTCACCGCGGCACCCCACAACAGTTCTACCGTCTGTCACCGCAGCACCCCACAACAGTTCTACCGTCAGTCACCGCGGCACCCCACAACAGTTCTACCGTCAGTCACCGCGGCACCCCACAACAGTTCTACCGTCTGTCACCGCGGCGGGCGGCAGCAGTGCTGCGTCAGACTCGACCACGCCCCCGCGGCGGCGCCTCTGCCGAGCTGCCGCTGCACTGTAGGCGATCCATGCATTCTGGCGCTTCAGGGGCCCGAAAACAATGATGGCAAATATGAATAAATACTGGCGTATTTTATAGCTAAATATCCCAGCATCTGAAATGTGACACTCTTTTTTACACCAAACCACACACTTTAAAACCACAAACGTCCAAACACCAACTTGTTGGAGAAGCTGAGCTACGGTGCCTGGTCGTGATTTGAACTTAGTTACAATGAGGGCTGTAAATCAAGACAAAAGTTAATTATCTTGAAAACCGTAATTTTATTTGAAGCCACATTCCTTGTAAGCAGTATGCATCACACAAATTTAACTTTTGAAACTTATCTATATTTTTAATAATTTTTCGCAGCACACCTTTCAACTGCATCAGTTCAATACTGATAATCATGTTTGGCAATGCGCATCTTTTACCATCCAGGAGATTCGGTAACAAAAATACCATTACATAGTAGCCTGGTGTTTGGTCTCAATATCCTGCAAAAATCGGCTGCCACTTTTTGCGATTCACGGAGTTATGGAGTTTTGCTCAACCCTTACCGTATAAGGTGGGGGCAGGGCCGAGGGGAGAGCGAAGTACCGCCGCCCAACCGAAGATTCTGTTCGCGACAGCTCCGAACTCACCAGCGATAGAAAGCTGAAACTTGGCCTGACCTTTGATTCAAGTCGAATCTTGTGACACCAACTACATTTTTAGGTCAGGTCAGTTCACGGACCAATGACGTCATAAGTGAACCTCTGCACGATCCTCAGATGTCGCAATTTCGCAAAGCCCTCAATGCCAGAGCAGCTTTCACATGGAGATGAAACTTACAGAACCTAGTATCCTCCAGAGGATTCACAGTTTGTATGTCTCGGATTTTCCCTAAAGGTCACATGAGGTCAGGTCGATCACATGACCTCACCATTGTGAGTCAATGTTGTAAAATGAACACTGCTATTTTGGTGCCGGGAACGATATCAAACTAGTTCAAGCTTTACTTTCGCAAGGTCCTATTCTTTACTTTTGCATTGTTGAACTTGCGTGACGTCATTTATGACGTCACTATGATCTGGTCATTATAGTTTTTGGTCCATAACTCCCCAACAAATTGAGCTAGCGATTCAGGCAAGCCATTAATGAACTCAGGAAGACCTGCCGAATCGAATGGTATGCAATTTGACCTCCTTCGACCATTTTCGTGACCTGGGAACTCTGACCTAAAAACTTACAATCGGGTAGGTAGAAATGGCTTCCGTTCGGGGAGAGCAGCATGCCCACGTGGCACCGAAGTTCTAACTCACTTAGAGGCCAAACGGAAAACGAAATTCCTACTCCTTTCTTTAACTCCGTTAGCATTTCGCAACTTTGAATCCCAACCACCAAACATAAGCGTTACGTTGTAGGTAGACGCGATACTAGGCACTAGCTAAAGCTGTTTATTTGTAGAACATGTGATCGGAATGTTCAAACAACCACAATTTTTCGCAAGTCATGGTCTCCTCTTTTTTGCTTTGCAATTGCATCTTAGCTTTGCTTACATGCAATTTCAGCGCTAAACCATTTCCATTTCACCGATAATTACCTTCTTCCTAAAACACGATAACTTGCGATCTCCTGAAATGTGGTAGTCTGTTGGTATTATTTTCCCCCAAACAGACCAGTCTGAAAGCGCCTTTACAACCACAGAGATCTCTATGCTTGCAACAATGTTTTCTTTGCAAAACCAGCTAACGTGGTTTGCGATCAAGTGGTTCATCTAACTGACGCTAGTTGAGAAGTAAGTCATAACACAGACATTATAGAGTTCAGTGCAGACAACACTGTATATGTTTTTGTTAAGCCTCTTCTGTCCTGTGTTAAGCCTATGGGGAAAAGGCATTGCTCGCTCTCTTGCACGTTGCAAAGAAAACCTTATTACTTCTGATGCAAACACTTATATCAGTTGAAGCGCAATGAAACTAGTTAGGCACAAAATAAGGGATTTCATGATGACTGGTTTTGAGTCTAACTTAAGATATAGCTCATGAAGTGCTAGGATAGCGAAATCGCCTACTGTGCGCTGCTCACTGACCTGCTGCCACGCTGGGGCCGAGCGGCGCTGCGCGCGTACAGGCCGTCCTCCGACGTGTAGCCGCTCACCGACGAGTCACAGCACGGCTCGGAGGGCAGCGCGTCCGTGTCCGACATATATCCTGGCAGACATTTGATATGATCACCACAAGTGACGCACAATTTCTGCGACTGGAATTCACCAAATACCAACATGGCCTTGCTTCGTCCAATGTGACACCAAGGCTGTGACCGAAGGTGATCTCTGTACAGCTGACATGACCCAGTGTGACCACTGGTGACCCTGTGTGACTTGGCGCGACTTAGTATAGTAAGGATGATGGTAGAGGTAGTGATTAACAGTACTCCGTAGGAGTGCGCTGGTATTAAAGATGTCAATTACAGAAAATCAGGATACCGATACCAAACCAACTACCAACCAAAACCATTTGAAAATACCGAAACCAAACCAACTTGTGAATGCCAGTAAAATACCAACTTTGAATGAAAATTATAACTGTTTACCGAATTAACAGCTTCTTAAACATAAGTGCGGATTCATAATACCAACAAAATACCAAAAACACAAGGCTTGAATTACCAAATACCAAGTTGATACGCTTTGGTATCTGTATACCAAAACGTCGGTATCCAATTGACATCTCTAGCTGGTATAGTGGTAGTGGTAGGGGTAGTGCCAAGGGTAGAGGTAGGGGTAGGGGTAGGGGAAATGGTTGTATAGTGGTAGTGGTAGGGGTAGGGGTTGTGGTAGGGGTAGTGGTACTGTAGGTTCTGCACAGCTGCAATTTTCCACAGCCTAGCCGCCCCGCAGCCGTGGCTCCACAGCCACAGCCGCCCACAGCCGTGGCAAACTGTGGGCAGCCAGCCGTCAGCCGGCCATGGATACTTTAACCTTCGCCCCAGAGTGTGGGGGGGGGGGGGCATATGTTACCACCCTGCCGCGTTTTTTGCGTGTAAATAAAAAACGCGGCGCGGCGCGCCGCGCCGCTTGGGGTAGCTTTTGGTACATCAATTTTGGACAATGTGTGAAATTTTTGACCCCAGGTCATTTCAGGTCAGGTCACCAGGTCATGTTAACTGACCAAGCCTAAAAAAGTTTGCAATCATGTCCAGCCTGCAGTGTTTGTCAGAAAGGTTTTAAACTTGGTGGATTGCATGATGTTATGGGCATTGGGCGCCTACAATTTTTATATATCGGATTTTTTATATCCGTGACCTAAGGTCAGGTCAGTGGCGTGACCTTTCCATTACAAGTCAATGGAGAAAAATGAAAACGCCTCTAGATCCGTGTGTACGCATCGGAACAGTCCAAATATTTCAGAATCACAATGATTTGGACCACCCGTGATGACCAGGGTGTCATTTTTGCTGATAGCCTCTAGAAAGGTCATCCGAGGTCATTTGAGGCTACAAACAGATTTTTGCCAGTAACTCGCGATTGGAAAGAGATAGAACGCTGGGAATGGTCTCATTGTGTTTGTCTTGCTGAGACGCATCGACTGATATGCAAAATGACCTTTTCCGGTCAGGTCATGACCTTGACCTGAGGTCAAATTTTCAAGTTGACCTTTCAAGGTCAAATTATAGTTCATTCGACGCGTCTCGGCGAGAGGAACACGATTCTGGCAATAGAAATGTTGTGGCTTTTTGTTGTCGAAAGTTATTGCCGAAAAACACTTTTCGTAAAAACAGCTATTTTTGGAGGTTTTGCCCTCTGGAGGCTAAACCCGTGACCTAAGGTCAATTTTGATAATGACCTTTTCAAAAGAAGAGTTCAAGAGCTATCGATTGCTTTTCCATGCGTTTTTCTTGCTATCATAGTTCCTGAGATAACGGCATGTTTTCTGAAAAATATAATGACCATTGGCAAATTTTGACCTTTGATGACCTCTGGTGACCCCAATATTGCTCTAAGATGAAAAATGACTGAAATACTTTCAAACGTACGCATTGAGAGCTATCGACTGCTTTTTACCGCGTCTCTCTAGCCCTCTTAGTTTTTGAGTTAGAGGTGGGTGGTAACATATGCCCCCCCCCCCCCACTAGGGCGAAGTTGGCTGAGACCGCCACTGGGGCGCGGGTTAAATGAAATGCAACCAAATAATATATAATAAGTTGTTTTATTTAAAAGATATATACACAAAAGCACATTGCAATGGGCGATAGATTCTCATGCTCATGAGGTATTATGGGACGCCAGGCTTACTTATACCGCTCATGAAGCATGCCTACACAAGCCCTTGCAAGGGGTTAAGAAAGTCAAAGATGGGTAGGTAGGCAAGGGTAGGAAAATATAAACAACGAGCCAGAATAGAAGCAGTGTCGACATCTCATGCCAAATCCTGAAGTATGGTTGTGGGGCACAGGGACGGCGCCACAGGGGGGGAGGGGGCAGGAGGGGCAGCCGCCCCCCCCCCCCCCAGCTCTGAACACTAGGGCCCTCTTTCAGCCAGCAGGTCAGGTATGGACGGAATACTCTCTGGCTGTGCAGAAAGAAGGCTTCTGGGCAAGCTGTAGAAATGACTTCAGGAGTGGGGAATCAAGCCAAAGGGACCTTCTCAAGGTGCCGCCGCCAAGATAGACCTTACGGGGTTTGGCCCATGTTTTTGGAAAAGGGCCCAATTTAGCAACAAAAAAGGTGAAAGAAAATCATTTATTTTGTTTCTTGGCTGATTGTGGCCCTGTCCTATCTTCCTAGGCTGCAGAAAAGGCCCGGGCCAAAGAGGGTCCATGCCACGTCTGAGAGGGCCCATTCAATATATGAAAGGGCTAAGGTCTGGGAGGTACCGTATTATGCCTGAGAAAGAGAGGGCCCATACCAGTCATGACAGGGCCCGCAGCGATGCTGAGATGGCCTTTGGAAGGAGCGCGAGAGCCTGTAAAATGTCTGAGAGGGCCCATACCAGCCGTGACACCATGGGTGTAACTTTGTATACTTTTGAGGTCCCATGTGGGACCCCAATGTGAACATTTGGGACCCCAATTGTCATTTTGGGACCCCAATAGTGGAGGCCCCCGAGACGCACCAGCTACTTTACAAATGGAGGTCCGTTGTTAATATAGAAGGTTCTCTGTACCACAAAGAGGCCCCTTGGACAAATAGGAGGCCCTGTTGGACAAATTGGAGGCCCCTGGATAAATAAGAGGCCCCCTGGACAAATAGGAGGCCCCCTGAACAAGTGGGAGGCCCCCTGGACAAAAGGAGGCCCCCTGGACAAAAGGAGGCCCCCTGGACAAATAGGAGGCCCCCTGGATAAACAGGAGGCCCCCTAGACAAATAGGAGGCCCCCTGAACAAGTGGAAGACCCCCTGGACAAAAGGAGGCCCCTGGACAAATAGGAGGCCCCTGGATATATAGGAGGCCCCCTAGACAAATAGGAGGCCCCCTGAACAAGTAGGAGGCCCCCTGGACAAAAGGAGGTCCCCTGGACAAATAGGAAGCCCCCTGGATAAATAGGAGGCCCCCTGGACAAATAGGAGCCCCTGGACAAATAGGAGGCCCCCTGGACAAGTAGGAGGCCCCCTGGACAAATAGGAGGCCCCCTGAACAAGTGGGAGGCCCCCTGGACAAAAGGAGGTCCCCTGGACAAATAGGAGGCCCCCTGGATAAATAGGAGGCCCTCTAGACAAATAGGAGGCCACCTGAACAAGTGGGAGACCCCCTGAACAAGTGGGAGACCCCCTGGACAAAAGGAGGCCCCTGGACAAATAGGAGGCCCCCTGGATATATAGGAGGCCCTGTTGGACAAATTGGAGGCCCCTGGATAAATAAGAGGCCCCCTGGACAAAAGGAGGCCCCCTGGACAAATAGGAGGCCCCCTGGATAATAGGAGGCCCCCTGGACACATAGGAGGCCCCTGAACAAGTAGGAGGCCCCCTGGACAAAAGAAGACCCCCTGGACAAATAGGAAGCCCCCTGGATAAATAGGAGGCCCCCTGGACAAATAGAAGCCCCCTGGACAAATAGGAGGGCCCCTGGACAAGTAGGAGGCCCCTTGGACAAATAGGAGGCCCCTAGACAAAACGGAGGCCCCTTAGACAAATAGGAGGCCCTGTTGGACAAATTGGAGGCCCCTGGATAAATAGGAAGCCTCTGGACAAATAGGAGGCCCACTGAACAAGTAGGAGGCCTCCTGGACACATAGGAGGCCCCCTGGACAATTAGGAGGCCCCCTGGACAAATAGGAGGCCCTCTGTACAAAGAGGAGGCCCCCTAAACAAATAGGAGGCCCCATGGACAAGTAAGAGGCCCTCTGCACAAAAGGAGGCACCTGGAAAAATAGGAGGCCCCTTGACAAATAGGAGGCCCCCTAGACAAACAGAAGGCACCTTTCACAAAAAGGAGACTCCTGGACAATTAGGAGGACCCCTGGACAAAAAAAAGAGGCCCCCTGGAGGAATAGAGGGTCCCCTGGATAAATAGGAGGCCCCCTGAACAAGTAGGAGGCCCACTGGATAAAGAGAAGCCCCCTGGAAATTAGGAGCCCTCTAGATAAATAGGAGGCCCTCTGGACAAATAGGAGACCCTCTGGACAAACAGGAGACCTCCTGGACAAATAGGAGATCCCTAGATGAGTAGGGGGCCGCTTGGACAAATAGGAGGCTCCTTTAACCAATAAGATACCCCCTGGACAAATAGGAGGCCCCGTGAACAAGTAGGAGGCCCCCTGGAAAATAGGAGGCCCTCTGGATAAATAGAAGGCACCCTGGACAAATAAAATAGGAGGGTCTCTGGACAAACAGGAGGCCCCCTGGACAAATAGGAGGTCCCGTGAACAAGTAGGATGTCCCCTGGAAAATAGGAGGCCCCCTGGATAAATACCAGGCACCCTGGATAAATAGGAGGCTCTCTGGACAAACAGAAGGCCTCCTGGACAAATATGAGGCTCCCTGGACAAATAGGAGGCCCCTTGGACAAATAGGAGGCCCCCTGGACAAATAAGAGGCCCATGTACAAATAGCCCATGCCCTCTGAACAAATAGGAGGCCCCATGGACAAGTAGGAGGCCCTCAGTACGAATAGAAGGCCCCCTGGATAAAGAGGAGGCCCCCTGGAAAATAGGAGTCTACCTGGACAAATAGGAGACCATCTGGACAAACAGGAGACCTCCTGGACAAATAG